AAACTTCTTTACTTTGCGAACTTCTAATGCATATGCGTTCCCACATCGCGAATGATATCACAAGCGAATTCCAAGATTCGATCGGTTCCTTTTGAGAAATTGAAAACAATAAGATTTGAGAATTTCGCCACAAGTACGAGAATATATTATCACGTATATCGCGCGTAAATCGAATTTCGGAGCAGCTTGTCGGAGCAAGCGAATCGCCAAGTGTCAAAAATAAGAATAGCAACGTCACAATCGACTCTCGAACAATTATATCGTCTGTAAAGCGTATAACTTTAATGCGAACTGTCGCTGTGAATCGCGTCCTCGAAATCGGAACACGTACTTTTACCTCGTCCCGTTTCGAGCACACGCGCACATACACGAGCACACAAACATCTCGACACGCACCTATCCGGAAGTCTATCCGCGATTTCCGTTATTTGTCTTTATTCGTCTCAGCGACAAAGACCCCCGTCGATTTTCGTGATCGCGATTTAGGAACGAGCGCGATCTCGCAACGACCGTTTCCTCGCGACGTGAATCACTGACGGCAGGGCTTTAGGGCTTTACTCTCCGCTCTATCCCGCGGCCGCTCTTTTTCTCGCGAGTCCATCCCCTCCTCCGATTCCTCGTTTCCTCTCTTTCTCTCTCTCTCTCTCTCGTTCTCGCGCGGTCCCGAAATTACCGCGTGCCGAAATAAATCATGCTCGCCTTTCCGCGCGCGGATCGCGGAAACGCGCGCTCGTCGTACTCGCTGGCACTTTTTTATTTTTCCGCCTCGTTATCGCGAGCCAACGGAAGAACGACGCCGCGTCTGATGTCTTCCCGCGTGCGCGTGCCTTCCGCACGCACTTCCTCGACCGTAAATAGCGTCGTCTCTCCTCCCGCGGCGCGCCAAGTACGCCACGACATCAGCGGGGCGTCGTGGCCGACCGCTATGTTCCCGTTCGCTCCATCCGCGTGAATCGAGGAAGTAACGGTAGAGCACGATCAGCGGTCGCTCCTCCTCGCGAAACGCGACGACCGACTGCGCTCCTTTACCACGAGGTCATCATCGGGGTCTCTCTCTCCTCGACACGTCGATCCGCCGACTCGGTTGCTACCCGACTCCCCTCGAGGCCGCGCTCTGCGAGAGTGACGTCTTCTTCCCCGCCGACAATCCTCCCTCCTTCCGCGACGGCGGTGGTTTTAATTATTCGCAAACCGCGACGCTATGGGCATCGAGGTCGATGCCTGCAGGTGGTCGCGAACGTACGTCACTAACGTTAGCGACGACAGTTTGACAGCTGTCAAAAGAGAGAGAGAGAGAGAGAGAGAAAGAGACACGTGGTGGACCCACAGGTCACGCAGACCGCTCGCCCCGCGAGTGACACAAATAATCTGACACGCCTCGATCACGCCTCCGATTTCGATGCCGCTGGTATCCCACCTCGTCGTTCTTGTCCTTCTCGCGCTTCGCCACCTCCTCTGCACATTCTCGTCGTCGGCTCGACGAACAGCGGCTCGTTTCGACGACGATCGTGGATCCACCAGCTAACACGCGTGCAGTCACGCGACTCGTCGATATGAAGGCGCGATACCGTAGACGACCAAGACGACGACCGCGACGGCGTCAACGGGCGTCAGGCATGCGTGTTGGAAAAGCTGCCGACTTTCACGCCTGGCTGTCGCGTTGCCCGCCATGCTCCCCTTTTCTATCCATATCTGTCCCTTTACCTGCTTCTCTCTCTCTCTCTCTCTTTCTCTTTCTTTCTCTAGATGAAAATGCGTAGCCACGAGTTGATTCACGGGGATTACCAGACTCCGATGCTGATAGCTTACGCTAATGTAACGAGTTCAAGCTGATCAAACCCGTGCGATAAGGCGCTTGAAAGAGACGCCGTAAAGACGTCTATAAGACACTTTTTCATGATTTTTTCAGGTGTCTCTTTTTGTCTGCTGAGGAAAGAATCTTTTGCTCCGACGATTTTAGCTCGAGGAGAAAAACATTACATGTATGGAGCGGATGATAAAAGAAAACTTTCAGCTGCTTGTCCCTACTGGCTTTCGAAAATTTATTTCCGATAGCCCAAGTAATCGCGATATTCCGTAAAGTCTCGCGAATAAATCTTCTCATCTATTCGAATATAAATTTTCAAAATCCTCTTCAATTTCTGTTCAGAAGCTTCCGATTCTCTTCCTGATTAATTCAGAAAATCTTTAAAATCACGCAAGGCATTACTGATATTGTCGTCGTCGTAACGCCGAGAATCTTCGAAGAGAACAGACTTTGCAGAGAGCAGATATTTAAAAAAAAAAAAAGGACAGGAAAAAAAAACTCGACGTTCGCGAGCTGGTGAACGCGTCTGCGCGCTTCCACTCGGATCGCTCAGCTGGAACGCGAGCGTCGCGACCGACGTGTCAAGCTGTTGACACTGCGACATTGTAATGAGTTCACGCGCGTGCACCAGCTTTTTCTTGTTCCTCCTCCCTTGCCCCGCTATTCCTACGAGAATACCTGTCCGTATCGTGTCGGCGTTACGTCAAACGCGAGGGCCACGCTCCACATTTTCACTGACACATATTTATAAGCCGATCGTACGTGATTAGATTTGCGTCGCGTTTGCATATATAAAGTTAGAAGAAATTCTAATGATGAATTGTACGGACATGCCTTCCCTCTCTTTTCGTAGAAAAGATTAGCTAATAATATATTTTCAGATCCGCGCGATCTAATTGTGGTATGATGTCTGCTCCTCGCCTCGATGTCTTATTTTTATACGAGCGATCGCTAAAACAGAGGTTGCAGCTCTTTGTCGTGTTCCGCTTTCTCTCAACCGGCTTTCTCTACAACATTTTCATCAAATCTTCTCATGTGAATAGCGATAATGCGGCTTGACGTCAACGCTTCCTTCGTTATCATTCGCCCGGCGAAGTCTATCGCTCGCGTCACCAAAGACGAGATGAGTTTATTTAAAAACCTCGCAATTTTTCCGCAGACTTTGATTCGTTGACGTATCAACCGCTTTATACTATTCTTGTGAAATTCAAGACGTATGTTGCAACGCGCGAGTGCCGCCGGTTGGATGTTTCGTGTCGGTCATACAATTGTAAGACGCCGATAATAGCCGCGCACATGCACGATAATAAACGCGCTTAGATTTCATCCGAGATGGACGTGCGAGACTATAGTCGATACGCGCTAACTTCCACGAGGGTACGCGCGCGCGCGCGGAAGACTATCCGATGAAAGTATTCATGTGCTCCAAATTAAGTCCTAATCCCCACGGCTCGTAACGTTGACACGCGCGTCTGTTGAGTTGAAACTATTTTCAATTTCGAAGTCAAAAGTCGCCACGACTGCCCCTGAAATAAATGTCGCCGGCAAAGAATAAATGACTTTTATCCGCTTTAATCTAAGAGTCATCAGTGTGTTACTATTACTAGCGCGAATGTAGATTTAAAAAACCTTGTTACGCGATAACCGATAAATATATTTATTTAACGTATGTATGTATTATAAACGTCGCGATATGACAGTATAATGTTACGGCGTCTCAGAGAGACTCTTGCGCTTTTTTTATTATATATCTATATAAATGTTACATTAAAATATAAATGGTAGTAGAAATACAAATATATATATGGCTTTTATATACCTTGTAGGAAATTATATCATATTTTCTTATCACAATTATCTTCATTTATACAGCTATCTAATTGGCGTTAATAACAAGCATGCGAATTGTTCAACTTTTTAAGAACACTCCTGTATCTTTGGAATCTTTTAAATTTCCCGAATCATTATAAATTCCTTCTTTCTCTCTGCATATATTCCTCTATTTCTTCGATCCTGAAAAATATACACGTAAAATTGAATTCTTTCTGAACAATATTCACAGAAAATGGTTTGTACAGAATGGATGCTTACGTGCGAGGAACATCCGTCATATTTTCCACTCCAGTCTCCGTTATAAGGACATCGTCTTCTATCCTGACGCCACCAAAACCGCGAAATCTTTGCAATTGTTCTTGCACAAGAAATTTCGACTGATCGGGATTGGCCAGAGCTGCATCCAGCAACTACAATAAAAAATATTTTACTTAAATACCCGAGAGATTGGTCTTAAAAGATCTTTATAGATTTATTTGTTAACTATTTCTACACTTACGCAGTCTATGAAGTAGCAGCCCGGTTCTATCGTGAGAACCATTCCGGCGAGCAATGTACGAGCGGTCCTCAATTTCCTCACTCCCGCCTCCTTCGAACGTTCAGGATGGCCTGGTAGATATCCGCCGACGTCGTGCACATCTAATCCCAAGAGATGGCCCAGTCCGTGAGGCTGAAACACTTCATTCAGACCTGCTTTCACCATATCCTCGACATCGCCCACCAACAGTCCACCCTCCTTCAACGATGTCAACATGACTCTGTTCGCTAAGAGATGCATGTCCGTCCAAACGACTTCCGGCTTCGCAGCTGCAATCACCGCGTCGCGCGCCTTCAATACCGCATTGTAAATTAGCTTTTGGTCCTCAGTGAATTTTCCATTGGCCGGAAAACTGCACGTAATATCGGCCGCGTATCCGCAATAATTGCCGCCCATGTCGAACAGGCTGCGCAATGCAAAATGTATTATGCAACATGAACAACACGCAACGATACATGAATAGTAACACGAATATATGGGCATGACGTGGATGAAATTATTTCCAGCGGAAATCTTACCACATATCTCCATCCTGTATTACTTTATTATTCGGTGCGCCAGCATGACCGTAGTGTAATATAGAGGAATTATGCCCGGATCCGCAGATGCATGTGTAAGACACATGCCTGCATCCTCCCGTGCCATATATATAATTCAAAAACCAAGCTTCTGCCGTGTATTCTGAAATCCCGGGACGCATGGAACGCATAACGACCTTGTGCGCCTCCGAACTTATCTTGCACACGTACCGCAATACCTCAATTTCCGCAGGAGATTTTATTACCCGGCTATATGAAACAAGAAGAAAGGAACTTATATAAAGACTATATTATATATATATATACACATATATATATTACGAGAACAGATTTTTTTTTATACAAGACATTTATTCAGTTTAGAGTACAATGCGTTTTTTTCAATGCCATTTCTTACTATAATTCTTAAATCGAAAAAGAGACGTAATTATAATGTGTTTAATTGTGCAATTTCAACCGCAAATTTGTATAAATCCTCATATCAGGCACAAAATATGACATTATAAAGCATCTTCAGCAGCGTCTAGGCTTTGCGACAAGTAAGATAACAATTTATCGTCGTGATCTGCAAATGTTGCCAGTTTTGCATAATCCAAGCATGTAACCCGAAAGCCCAATTTTCGAATTTGCCGTTTTCTCATTATCTGCGGTCCTGTTAAAAACTGCGTGTTCCAGCAATAATACTCGGGCAAATGAATTAGAATTGCGGTATTGACGTTTCTCTTTTTGTTCGAATTCAAGTTGAAAACTGGCGTTGATTTTAAGAGCGGATGTATCAAAATATCTAAAATGTAGAAGTTTATGAGGGGCAATCTGCTTAAAACCACGCTCCTGCTCAATTTTTGTTCGCCGCCTACTAAATGCGCCAGTGGTTTGTGTATTTTATTAATGATACCCCTGATTCTAACGTCTAAATCTAAGGACTTCGCGCTTCTGTCTAGATTAATCGGACCGCCTTGATAATCTTTACATTCTAATGACATGCTCGCATCGAATAGCTTTAATTTGGTTTTTAAGTGATTGACAATAGGCGCGTCTTTTTGAATTTCTAGTCTGTTTACAAGATATGAACTAAAAACTCTATCCAAATATTTGATGGGATATCTTTCGAGATACATGCAAGAGAGGAAAATGTCTAAAACATCGTTCAGTTTCAAATCTGCGAATCTCGCGGTCATCACTTCATCGAACATTTTCCAAAATTCGGTCGAATCCGGTGGTTGTACATTCAATAATCCAAACGGCGTAAGAATCGAAGATAACAAAGTAGGCGAAATTTCCGTTCCATGTTTTATGAAATATTTTCCACATTCGGCAAGAATATACGGATTCCTGACCTTTAAATCTTTGCAATAATTCATGACGGAAGCGATTAAATTAGGATCTCTCGTCTCAGTGCCTCTAGTTGTTATATATCTCGCCAACGCCTGCTCGATGTTTTCATCGATATATTTCTTCGTGCGTAAACTGCTAATAAAATTGATGAGATCCTTTTCCGTGGAAGTAGTCATGCTCACACCTGCCCACTTACTAGCACTTGATAGGCATCCCTTTGAGGACTCCTTTCCGTAAAGACAGTCCAATATATTAGCCATCTGTGTGCCGGATAACTTCAACCATTGCTCCGAAAGTTTTTTCTCTAAGATAATCTGTATCATATCTTTACTTTGTTGAAAATATTTTAGCGATCTGAATAACGGCACTAGTACATCCGATTTAATATCCTGCTGTCTACAAGTCAAACCTACCCACAACGTGTCGACGCAATTTCTGTATTTAAAATCTTTAAAAGAAGCCAAAATTTTCACCGCTTTGATTAATTGCAACACGGTAAGTTCGCCGTCTGTAGCTCTGATCATAATTTCGTTGCACATCAAGTCTTTATAAACGTTCGTCGAAGGACTAAATTTGTCTCTCTTCAGAGTTCTCAGTCCTTGCAGTATCATCTCACTGTCTCGACTTTTGACAATCAGACGTACAAGTTGTCGCAAAATAATGTTCCTATTAATGACTTCCGCGGACGATTGACCACTTGACAGGGTTTTTCGATATCGATACCATCCATTTTCCAATTCTATCATTTTCTTTAAACTTTGAAGCGCTATGCGACAGTTTATCTCATCGGCCATTTTGCCCTCCATTCCTTTATTCGTACTTTTCGAATTTATCGCGTCTAACACCTGTTCTATGTCTGTATTTCTAAGGCGCTCAATATCGGGGCAGAAAAGTATTGCTGTACCCTCATTCGTCTCTATATTAATACTATGCTTCAAGGGCTCAGTCTTCATCACGCTTGTATTTGTGGAACGAGGAATATTTTCTTTATAAATTACTGCAGACTTTTTATTTTTATTCGATACCGACATATCTTCTTTGCTTCTATTACCACAGAGAGCTTCGATGTTGGTAATCTTTCTGACTATTACAGGAACCTCTTGTATATGTGTACCTTCTTGCACAAAGATGTTCGTCTGGGTCAATTGCGTTCCACCATAATCGTGCGCAAACCATCTCTTTTTAAATTTAGAGATCAGACTATACGTTTGCGCAAATGCTTTTATAGATTTTCTCCAGTATATATGGTTTAAGACTATCATCTATAATAGTAATCAGAAATATAATAAAAACGTTATATGTAAATTTCCCTTTTCTCTTACCTTTGAAATATATTATAAACATCGCATAATTCAATATTCAATAATTTCTTTCAAGATCTTCATACTTGTATCGCGGAAAATTAAAACATTACGAATGCAAGGAGGGTAATTTTACTTTTAATTATTTGTGACACTAAGTAAAAAAAAATATATATATAAAATGTATAAAATATTTGATATCATAACCCAATAAAAAGTTGTCAAGTTGATGTACCGATGCGATAGCGTATGTGATTGCACGAGACGACCAGCCGATGGCGACACTGACTCTTTCAGGCAATTGACACGCGATAATCAACAAAAAATTAATTAACAATGTTTCATTTTCTTAATAAAAGTAACATATAAAAATGCGCATTTTTAATCTATCATCTTAATTACGTTATATCCATTTATTTAATATCCATTTGTCTACAAGACTCATTTGTCGTCTCATTCTTCTCTCTCGCACGCATAAATGTAAAAATTATAAAATTTATTATAAATATATTATATGAATAATTTATTAATATACTCACCACTCACATATTTCCGGATACAGGATACTACTATCCACCTTGAATCTACAACAAAAAATACGAAGTTAAATTGTTTTCACCAATCATGCCGCATTCCTATTAATATGATTTTGTCATTACTCACTCATCGATTCCATCAAAATTCGTTACTCGTGTCAATAAGCCGCTATCGCTGTTTCTGCCGTTCTGCAAAGATAAACAACGTATTCGCATCACAATCGTAACATCGTAATTGGACGCATACATTTAGCCCGTGTACAATCAAAGTAAAAATAATCATTATATAATCCCACGATTCAAGTCAGAATAGAGAAAGCATTCTTCATTCGGTCGGAAGCGAAACAAACGTTTCCGTGCCATCGATTTCTGCCACCGCGCAGGATACATGCGTGATAGTGTTACGTATATTTCAGTAGATGATAATGTCAGTATAAATCCTTAATGCGTCATGCATTCATTCACTGATTAATTGGCACGTTAAATTGCGCATCAGCGCAATAAAAGCGCGTATAATTAATATCTAAATTTCAAATAAGTTTCCGTTTATAATAACGACTTAAAAAGTTCCCTCGTTTTATATTAAGCTTTTTTACGTAATTATATATACTAAATACGTAATTTTCAGTATACAATGTGTGTGTGTGTGTGTGTATTTTATATTCTAATGATTTCTTGCATAAACAATTGTAAAGTTTATTTTCACATGACTGGATAGTGCAGCTGCGTATAACGCCAAGCTGGTGCGCAGTTTTTACATATATTTGCGTTATTAAAGAACATATATTAATCATTTATCGCTGAGTAATAGATAAAAATGTTTGTCGACTAAATAACAAGCAGGTAATGAATGCGCTACATCAGCATTTGTATCGGATCGGATATTGCAAAAGACCGTGCAACATGTCGCATAAATATATGCGGTAGCAATAATCATAATTATAGTCGTGAGGCTGCTATACAGCTTGTCTATAAATAAAAGACAAGTGCTTATCAATATTGACGACGTGTGTGTCCGAACTGGTATAAGAGACTGATATAGCGGCGAACTATTCTTTACCAACAATAGACTAAACATATTATTAGACGTATAAGTTTGAAATTTTTAATATCGCCTGATGATTCATAACTGTATCGCGGCAAGGATGAAAATATCTTTCAATTACGCATGTTCTTCGCGTAAACAATTTATTTATCTTCACTTGAAATAATTTTCGATTATAAATGTTCTCAAAATCAATATTAATATAAATTCTATTATATTCGCTGAGTGCGATATTTATTGCATAATTCATCTTTTAAAGGTCAGAATCGAGGAGACCTTTATCATCTTTCTCTATAATTAGATAGTTTATTCTCTGTCTCTATAGGTAGATATTTTCATGTCTAGGTAGATGTTTTCATATATACATGCGACAACACGGTTGCATGAAAGCATAAAAGGTTACATTATGACTCGCTCGTCGTCGATTATACCCGTTCCTATTTCTGCTAAGCTTGAACCTCGGCATTAATCTTGCGCCCGACCGGGATCATGATGTAACGTCCTGTGTGACCCTATAGTTCCCGAACTTGTCTCATTTGCAATGCAGAGATACGACGTACTCCGTCTATCGACGATCATAAATTTCTAACCGATATCGACTGATATACACACAGCAATTACACGCGCGACAAGGCTGTAATGAGAGATAAACAGGAAAAAAGAAAAAACATGCCAACAAATAAATTTTTTATATATACCCGGGGGAAATCGTACGTGCGTCAGAAATATCGTCTTTAATTTTCATCACAAACATATAGGATAAATAAAACATTGAGGGTTTAAAAACTAAAGATTCAAAACAAGTTCAGTGTTGTTCTATCGTGGACCTCGTGCAATGATATATATACAAATACGTATGTAATACAAATGCAGATGTAGTAATATATTCCCACCGGCATTAATCATTTTGTTTCCATTGGTGTTTATCAGCCATTAAATTGGCTTTGTCACGCATGAATATCGCATTGTCGAACAGTAATCGGCTTGGAAAACATTGTTTGCAAACAATACTATGCGGTATAATTAATGATTAAAGCGTAAGAGGTAGTTTCATATTAATTTCGTATTAATGGTACATAATTAAATATTTTCCGACTTAGTAATTAATTATAATTCCCATCTCATCATATATTAAATGAATTTGTATTGCATTATTTTTTATAAACGTCACACGTAATTTAGAGCGGAAACATTATTCGCGAGATATCTGAATCGTGCCGTAACTAAAAACATTTAATTTCGCATATCTTACATTGTATAAGCGTTACGCTAATCTTTAAAAATAAACCAGACTAAAGATCAAACACGAGTCATTTCTCTGCAACAAATATAAAAAAAAATCTCGATTACATATGCGAGACACATAAGTTGCGTAAGGATTATATTTAAAAACGAATTGGATCGGCGTGATTTCCAGTTCTTGTATTACATCGACGATTATGTCGACAAATCGATTTCTAAATTGACGTCAGGACAATTTAGAGAAATCTCAATATATATTTTTTTGTCAAACACTCGTAAAATCTCAGTGATAAGAAAAATACAAAATTCTATAAACTTGCAAATATTAATAAACGTTAGGTATGATTAAATACAATAAAAAGATAATGCAACACATCTCTTAAAAGCTGTAAAAAAGAACTTTGTAATGCTAATCTCGGATTAGATGTAAAAATGTGCGCATTTTTATGCATTTCAATTTACGTAGTACAAAACAATTGCTTATGGAAAATGCCGAGCATTGTTTCATTTCTTATTCATATCGGTCGTCTCTGTGCCTTTCAGCACAAAATAACACTCTCTGTGAAGCCATTAAATATTGATTTTTCCAACGTGTTTCGTGGTGATTCGATTTATTGAACGGCACTGAAAATAAAGAAAAGATTCAAGGCTATAGCCCCTGCGGTGGCAGAGCTCAGCGTCTTTGTACTAACATACAAACGCTAAAACGTAACTTGAAGATTGGGGTCCTGGCAAATAACAGAAATGACAGAATTCGTCTTCACGCCGAATATAGTTTCGCGCAAAATGAAATGTCTCGATATCAGATATTTTTCTCCCATCGTCACCGACACTGTCTGTCTCACATAATAAATAGTTTTCATCGTTCGTGTTATTTTGTAAAAATGTGAAAAATTTGTAGAAACGTATTATAAATATACAAAATTGGGGGACATACAGATCAATTTTCAGTATGACAAGCCATTTAAGTTCTCGCGCAGTTTGTTTTCGATCGATCCGACGTCGCTAGATATAAACACTAACTATTTTATGTCAATTTACCTGACGAGACAGTGACGTGTACTATATACAACATGCAACTCAACGAATAATACAAGTCGGCCAATAATCACGCATGGTACACAATTCCTAGAAAACATCTCCGTTCTGGCTGCGCACACACACGCACGAACCTTTGTGAATTTCCTGCTTTCGCGTAAATCATGCGAGCGTCTCTGGAATCGTACAATATGCGAGTCGAAACGCTTTAAATTGCTCCAAATTACTCTAAATTGCGCGGTCTCGCGCGCGCGACCGGTATATTAGCAAAATTAATTCCGCAAATTTGTCGAATATTCCGACAACGCAAGCGACGCAAATGTCGCTTACGTGTCAAAGGTACATAAACAAAGAAAAACGCAAGAATCACTATAAAGATATAACATTGGTATATAGGTCACATGAAACTCAAGACTTTATAATATTAGAGATAATCAATGTTTCTCATTAATAATGATAACTCATGTAGCTATTGATAACTCATGTAACTATTGATAACTCATGTAGCTATTGACTTATCGCAATATTATCGCAAGAGAAAGAGAAAAAAAAGAGCTTTTATATGCATAATTTTTATCAAATCATTTTAGAAATATTTTAAAGAAGATGATAATATATATAATTAAAGAATCAAAGAATGTTAAGAGTATATATATATCTAAATAGAATCATGTCAAGAGAGAGCTACTTGTATACAACTGATTCGAATACAGTTATTTAAACTTCCATTGTCCGAATATTCTAGTATCTGAACGTCCTACTATTCAAACGTTCTAATATCCGTACAGAAAACGTTCTAATATTCTCATGTAAAATATTTTCTTTATTTCTAGAAAGACACGCGCAGCAATTTTTTTCTAAAAATAATGATATGAAAGAAACAGAATATCGAAAAAATATTAATGATTGAATTAAATGTAAAAATGTGCGTTTTCCAAAAATATGATAACGCACAACCATCTTAGAAAATTACTTTAAATATCTCTGGGAAAAAAATATATTTCTAGAATATGACTAATTTCTTATTAGACTTGTTCAATATTTATTTACTGTATTTATTTATTGAAAACGGAATACCTTTTACATCACCGATTATAATCTATACGGGAAGTCAAATATATTTTTTAAAGTTCGTACGTAAAATCTATTTGCGGTGACGCGTTATCAGATAAGTATTCCACGTAATGTATTAGTATGGGTCAGATCGTTCGTAAATAATGCCGGTCACCCAGTTACATTGTCATTGATGCATCGACGCTAGGGACAAATTCGTCGTTCGTTAGATAACGACAGGTTGAAAAATTCATCGCCTATTTCCCAATGCGAGTTATGAACGCGACATGTGTGCCAGAACGAAACAGCGAACTATGTAAATCGGTCGCTTTTGCCGTCAGGTTGCACAAAGTAGCAGATGGAGCAAATATTCTATTGTATTTTCTCATGCCTTATCGCTTAGCGCGTGTTATCAAGCCTCGGTTGAAATTATTCTACGCAGTATCGTACTTTTTCTTTCATTATGCAACTTAGCTTTAGTTTTAATTTCCGCTACTTAAATTTTCTGAAAATAAAAATTGAAAAAACTGGACCAAAATAACAAACCGAGATAATGTCAAAACACAAAAAATATAAAAGCGAAATACAGAAAATAGAAAGCAAATATGATAATTCGAGCAAACAACTCTTACTTTTTTATTTCTTTCTAATATTCCGGCTTTCTCGAGGGATAATAAAATACACTGAATAGAAGCAGCGTATTTACATGCATCGGTTATTTGGCAAACGAAAATGAACCAGTATAAGAAATGTATTGTGGAATTCTGCTAAACTCACTGTAATTTTAATCCGCATAGTAACAGAGCAATATTTAAACGCGCTCGAACGATAACGCGTACGGTATTTCCATGAGATATTATACGCGAAATTTTTGCAACACTCATTTAGCGAGCTCTGTACAGAAGCAGAATTTGTAAGTCATCCAGCAAAAGCGACGTCAGACGATGCTCTCGCTTGACAAACATTCGCCAAGTCGTGACAAATGTCATGTCGTGCAAATGAAGCAGGCTCGCGAGGCTCCAATCACGGATGACAATGCTTGCAAAAGTTTACAAGTACGCACGTACGGCATGCATTTACACTCGTCGAATGTTTGGCGAAGGAGAGCGTCTCTGAAGCCTTCTCAATGCAAGCGACTCGCAACCAGTCGACCGACCGATGTAACTTTCTCGACACATTGTAGAGGCAGACAGTCGCGAAGGAGGCGAAGGTAAACGTCACGAGGCACGCCACGGCGGATCGCTTATTGCAAGCATACATACACACACATCCCATACACATATTATACATATAGAAGAAGGTGCTCAACCTGGGGATATCGTTTTGACAGTTTCATTTATTTCTATGTTATAGTTTATCGAGACCCATATATTGCTAATAGTAAGAAATGGATTTTTTTTATTATGCTACGTAGATAGAGAAAAAAATGTAGTTATTACAAAATTGTATAGTCATCCTTAGATTCAGAATATCCTCAGATTGAGCATGTTCCCGTACCTGGGGAGAAGGCAGACGTTTATCGAGAGAAGTGAGCGTTTATCTGTTCCCAAGCGAGACTTACCAGCGTGAGCAAAAGGCGCGCTTGCTTTTCCTTTAGCACGCGCGCAATCTCGTCAGTGTAGCGAACCTCGTCCACACCGTATCGTTTCTTAAAGTCATCCAGGGTGTATAGTTTGCCCATCCAAATCGCGTATTCGGACGGTAACCTCGGCACGAAGAGGACCGAGACGCCGTTGTCCAGGTCGAAAGCGCCGTAACATTCTGGCTCCTCCACCCCGAAACACCATTGGAAAAACGATTCCTGATAAAGAGAATGAATAATGTGAGATAAGATAGTTACCGGAAAGTTCAACAATGTTAAATAATGAAGGGGTTTTTGCGCGCGTGTAACAAATGTCGCATAAGAAAATGATAGCAGAAAATATATGCTCTAGTACCTTTCTAAGTAATTATCTAGAAGTGGTACACGCAATACTTTCGACCATTACGTAGAAACTTTTGCGCTAGATAGAAATTGCAAAAGATGCAAATAAAGATAAGAGAATAAAGAAGGTACGATAAAATATCCTTTATTATGAGATCGATAGCTGTTCGTGCGCGTGCGCGCGTAATCGAAACGAAAAACAATGTTCGATGAAGTAAAGCTTTACATCAATATTTACGACATCACTATACGACGCTTCCGTTTTTAGAGTCAAGTTTCATTCTCGAAATCGAATTTGTGCGGTATGTATTGACTCGAAACAAATAGGTCATCACGCGATATTACGTGAGAAATCGATGCTGCCTCGGCAACGTTCTCGCCGACCGTATTTGAGAAGACACGATGATATTCCGGGGCCACGTCATCGAGTCGACGCCAGGTCATCCTCCTCGGTCGTCGCCAGGATTTTTCTCGACGGCTAATAGACGACGTTTCGCAATTGTGTGCGAGGCGAAGTGCTGGCAGGTCGGTTTCCCGTACGAACAAAGGATATGGATCGATCTCTACGGAACTCCTCTCTGACTTTCAATAGCCAATACCTTTTTTCTGTTATTTTTTCATATGTCAAAAATATTACAATAGATTCCTCGCGGCGATCTCACGCCCGGCTGCGGACCTCGAGTTCCCTCGGCTTCGAAAAACTTTGTACAGGAAACAAGATCACGCGAGTGTGTCCGCGCGCGGCCGTCTCGACGCTTCCCCTTTATCCGAGAAAGGCAAAGCGGAAATGCCATTTCCACTGTTCGGCCCTTTTTATTAAGTCGAATCGTCGAGGTCGAACCGTAGACGCATGTTACAATCTTGAAGACACATATCGCGCTGTTTCGTATCCGTAAACTCATTATCGTCCAGATTAAAATTCTTTGTTTTTAAATTCGAGAAAAACATATTTTAATTATTGCTTTTTACCTATCTAGAGAAAAGGATGTTTTTAATCGTGCAAGTCTAAGAAAAAAAATTTACTCAAAGAGGTATTATTGGACTGTTAAATAGACAATGACCCAGGTTTAAAACGAAAGGAGTGTACGGTCGCATGTTAATGGAAGAATAAAGAAAGAAAACAAATGCAGCATGTGCAGAAGATATATATACATACATATATATATATAAATAATACTACAATATCGCGTCTTTAATAATATTGGCGTAGGCAGCCGCCGTCGTCGTCTAAGTTCCAAAAAATCCGGCAGATCGGAATTCCAAGGGTGAAGCTATGAGAAATGAGCCGAGCGAATCGTAATGCGTTGTGCCTTGTTGTGTTTGGATTCAAGAGCTATGCCTTCTCTCACTCTCTCTCTCTCTCTCTCTCTCTCTCTCTCCCTCCTTCTCTCCCTTCGTCTCCTGGCCGCTCTCGGGGGCTCTCATTTCCGTCCGATGCTGGGAAAGACAGAGATAGAAGATGAAGAGAGCGAGAGAGAAGAGAGAGAGAGAGAACGTCTTGAGAACGATCGGCCATCAGGTCAACGCGCTCTCGGCGCAACCAGCAGGTATTATCTTAAAGAAACTGTATATATATGTGTATATATATATATATATATACACACTCACACACATATATACATTTACGTATAAAGGTTTTTTCCGTGAATATCAGTTTGCTTGATCAAGTAGAAAGAGCTTTAATATAGCATATTTACAATGAACATTCTTCACAATTGTTCTATTTGACCAATTTAATAATTTACTTAAAAATTGTTTTGTTTTTTTTTTCCATTATTATTACTTTTGTTTCCACTCAAAATTTGGACAAAGCCGGAAATGCACCGAGAACACGTATTAATGCATAATTACAGTAAAAAAAAAATTCGACGAAAAAATGTATTGATCGCAGCATCGCGCAACAATAATACCGCGATATCGAATTCAGCACGAGTACATCGTTTTAACTCGCGCTACGCAACAAAGAAACGAGCGGTCCGCTATTCGTCAAATTAGAAACTGGAACACCACCTTGATTGCACGTGTACAGGATGTCCCAGAAGCAACACCGGATGTTCCCCCAACCGCGGATTCTACAACAAATTTCCTGCCTATTCATTTCTGTGTAAATTTTTGCGAAACTTTTGCCATTACCCAATACACACGTTTTGTTTCAAATCATCGAAGTTAAATATTTTAAAGAAATTTAACCGTAGATGAAATTTCTGTCAAGACTATTGAAAATAATGCATGAAAGTGTATGTGTGTGAGACTGAGGATAAAACGTATTTTCCTCTCTCTCTAATTCGAAACACACAGGGCTCACACAGTTCGGTCTAAACGTTGTCTGGGAAGATCAACAATGACGCAAGCATAGCACAAATTTGAGCTGGTCTGGAACATCTCGAGATAATATTCACGCGAAAGTCTATAGCACATAAAAGAACGCAAACAGTGAAGGAACTTAAACAATAGGCAAATCTCCCTCCCTCTCCCCCATCAATCCAATATTCTTTTAAAATAAGAATTCATTTCGTTTAATTTTTACTAGTTCCATTTTACTGCCATAATTTTAATTCGCGAGAATATCATCTGATCTAAGTCAAACTCCATCGAGTTTATATCCTTTATTACTTTTAGTTCTCCATCTTGTACGAATTAATGAAGCAGAATGATTTCGTCATATGCATGATCAATTCATGATAACATTGAATACAACCTAGGTTGAGAATCGAAACGCAATTGCAAATCTAACTAAATAATGTGATTTCAAGAGTTCGTGTTAACTCTTAACAGGTTTGTAAATTAAAAAATAAGTTAAAGAACAAATAATATGGAACTTTACTTTTAGATCATCGAGAACAACAATGGACAATCACAATGAACAAATTTCGAGCAACGCAAGCGGTTTGTACCACCTGTATTCACACAAAGATCGCTTGCTAAGCGTCGCGCATAATCGGCTCGAGTTCCACCGTTTTATATGAGAGAAAGAGAAAGAGAACGAGAGAGAACGAGAGAGAGAGAGAGAGAGAGAGAGAGAGAAAGAGAAAAATAAGGAAAGAATATATAAACACGTACATCAAGAATCTAATATAAAAAAATTTTACGTAAGCTTAATAAGATTATATTCTCAAAAAAAATTAATAAAATGCATATTAAAAAATATTTAAAAAGATAAATAAAAAATATAATATATTTAATGTACGTAGATAAATAAAATTTTAGTAAAATAGATAGAAAGAAGTATTATTTATTTCGCGATCCATTCAAGATCCCTCGAAATATCCTTCGATAGTCAAAACCCAAACAAAGCCCGCATGCGAGTGTCTGGAACACAGACACAAACGAACGGAACGGTCGTGCGTTTTTCTAGAGTGTGCTGTCCGAACGGTATCTTCTCGGTTCTAGTAAAGCGAGTTTTAAAGGCAATCTGCCAGATCGCCCGTCTGCGCGCCAGGAGCGTGTCTGACCGGGTCGTCACTCGTCCCATCGATTTTCGGCGTCTTCCGCTTTGACAAGAACGTGTTTTCGCCTATGTAAATGTAGCGGAACTCTATTTACCAGAATAGTCTAGCGGAGTGGCTAGAGTTCGTGTAAAGCGGAAGTTTATAAACTTCAAAATAGAAATTTTTCCCCCGCCATTCTTATCTATTTATCATCGATATGAGGCATATTTATAAACACATTATCGTTATAAAAATTAATTTCAGAAAATAAAAGTCACGAAGGAGCAAAAAGCGAAGATATAATTGCGTTATATAAATACGATATATACACAATAATAGATTAAAAGAAGCTAATAAAATATTGGATTGAAAAACGGACTGATATGTACGCTTCGAAGCATATTTACAGCCTTATTTCACGAAAATTCTGCAATATTTATCGCATGATAAGACAGATAATAATATTTGGCCTCCATACACACACATCTCTGATTGGATAAAATTATCTGATATCAGTCAGACTATGTACACGGGAGTAATTTCTGAAAAACATTCTACTATAATGAATCTAATAAATTTTTATTATAAATATAATAAATAAAAATTAAATTAAATTAAAATTAAAATTAAATTAAACTTATTACTTTAATGCAGTTTTTAATGACGATGAAACGTTTTCTCTAAATATACCGTCGTACAAATATTTTTATTATGTTATCGCCTTCGCATTATTTCACAACATGTGATAAGCTTTCCGTAAACAATAAAAAGTATGAAAAAGATTTCTCTGTAATGGTCAACAACATAACATTAATGTATCATCGTACACAGTTAATGCGTTATCAGCACAAAATATTATAAATTCCTGTACAGTCATCGTGCCATTCTTATATCGATGACTAATTTACGTTTCGTATACAAGCATAAATAATTCGAGTTTGGCGAATTGAATTAGCAATTGTATTCGCTCGCGGTCTTAATCTTTCTCTCGTTGAAATAAATCTAATGAATTTTCTCATTTCACATTGATGGCTATTGAACACTTTGCGGCAAACTCAATTGTCTTTACGGTCGTTACTTGGATAGAGACATGCGACAGAAATAGTCGTAAAAGTCAGTCCACGTAATTGCGGTTGAATCTTTGGAATTTCCTTCTCCCATCGATCGAGCATTTTGTTTCTTACACGGTACTTCTAAGAGATCACGAAAAAGAAAAACGCTCTCTGTTG